CAGTCCCACATCCGAAAGTTCCTGGTACAAAGCCAGAGACCTCCCTGGATAAAATATATGTGTGTATACCCATGATCTACAGTTGGCTGATACTGGGGTGGATGTAAGTGTCAAGACCCTGTTGGAGGGGCCGGCAGGTGGCATGGTGGTTTAGGGCGCTGGACTCCTACATGGCCAACTGTGGTTTGAGTCTCAGACCTGGCAGCTTGCTTTCTCACTTTCTCTCTCTCTCTCTCTCTCTCTCTCTCTCTCTCTCTCTCTCACTCTCTCACTCTTACTCTGTCCCTCTCTGGTCAAATTAAAATAAATAAATAAAGTTAAATAAAAAAATAATTCTTAAAAAAAGAAATAGACCCTGTCGGAGTGTTCTCTTTCATCTGCTGGTGGAGGAAATAAATAAACTTTTTAAAAGATCAGTTTATAAATTTGTATTTAAATCTTCCTTAAAGCTGTTTGGCATGTTTCAAACCTTTAAGGGATTGAACTTCATGCTAACTTGGATTTAGTCCCTAGCAGGTGACAGTTTTATTATTCTGACTTATTAATGTTTCGTGCCTTTACATCTATTTGCTCAACTAGATTTTAAATCCATTGAGAGAAGGAAATAAATCTTAACCTTTTTAGAATTCTAATGTATTATTAGAAAGATAAACTAGTTAGCACCCTTATTTGCAAATGAAGAACTGCAGCCAAAAGAAAGGAAGCATTGTGGAGCAAGTTAGTGGTAGAACAAGGACTTCTTTTCACCATTAAGTGTGCTTATCATGGTGAGTCATGAACAGAAGGCACAAAAGGCGTTAGTGAGTGTAGTAGAGACTTGCCTTTCACCTTTGCTCCTCCTACCTCTTCTGTTTCTTTTGATGGAGTTTATAGGCATAAATAGAGGGGAAAATCTGTTAAACACAGGAATAATAGAGAAAAGGAAAACTACTACAGGGCTGCCAAATGTGACCAAATGAGCTAGGCATCAGTCTAGTGTGTTGGGAAGCTGGCAATTTCAGTCAGACCCTTCATTAAGTGCTTTTCCTGATCTAAACTGTAAGAGTAGAAATATGGAGAACAAAGGCAGAACCAGATGGGAAGCCAAGCACTCAGGCCATATAAAAGCTTAGGAGAATGGTTTGGTGGTCTTTTAGGTAGCTGTAGTATGGTATGTCAGATTGAGAAAGTACTGCTAGCCAAAATTTCTCTCTAAGGAGAAAAATAAGGCTTCACCATAGCAAGATGATAAAAGGAAATGTTCCGTGCTTAGGTGGTAATTCAGTATAGACTGTCTTATCAACTTTCGATGATCAGTGAATTAGTTGAACAAGTTACAAAAATTTAGTTATTTTTACATACTTTAACTCTTGAGGTCATTGTTCACCACTGTACATGACAATTCTAGACACAAAAGTGATAAAATCAATGGAAATGTGAGGGGAAAAAATAGAAACACAAAGCATCATGGCAAATGTATCCTGCCTAGTAATTTTTCTTTACCTATATATTTAAGTTTTACATATAAATAGGCTTTTTCTCCAAAAGAAAAAAAAGAACTAACTCAATAAGAATAGGGCCCTGTTATACAAGTAAACAAATAATAAATGCATGGTTCTTGAACAAATGATAGTATTGATGAGATTGAAGATGATTGATTTAAGAGGGTATACTTCACATTGAGTAGCAACCCACAGCCTGATATAGGTGTACGTTTTTTCAGATCTGTACTGCTTTTTTAAAAAATTTAGGTTTCTGTTTGTTTTGGTTATAGGCAGTTTGTGCTTACGGGAGAAAGGCAGAGAAACCCCCCAAGCAAGATAGCCATGCTGCCATCCCTTGTCCTCCTGTATCCTTTGGGGACTTGGGGATTGCTCTTAGAGACTGAGTGTTGGTCTTCTTTCATTAATGTACTTCTTCATTCAGCAAAAATATTTGAGTGCTACTATGTGCCAGGTTTTAATGTAGGTGCTAAGAATGCAAGAGTGAACAAAACAGACAAAACCCCTGTCTTTGCAAAGCTTACATTCTCTCAGGGAAACAGACAATAAATAAGTTAAATAAGGAAAATATGTGCTGATGATAAACATTAAGGAGAAAGTGAAGTAGAAAAGGAATATGACATTTGGTGTGCATGGGGAGTATAATTGATATTTTAGATAAGGGCCTTTCTGTGAGAAGGTGAAAGCATATCTCTTTGGGAAATACTAATGAATATTCTCAGACAAAATGTATCTGTTGGAAAGAATATCCTAAACAGTTATGAAATAAAGTGGTGACAGCCATGACTAGCATACAGAAAAAGTGCTTGAGGAAAAATGTAATGAGTGGAAAGTAGGATTTTTTTTTTCACACATGTGGTGTGATGCTGCTCTAACTTTTTAAGTGGAAAATTTCTTCATACATGAAAACCTTTAAAGGTCTGAGTTTATAAAACAGTTTCCATAAAGTACATTAGTAATTGTTGTCCTGGCTATGTAATAAAGGCATTTGCTGGTATGTATTGCAGTAAGACAGATAATTTAGAGGACAGGTCATGTGAAAAAGTCCTTTGTGATGTTTTCTGTTGCAACAAATGATAGGAACATAGATATAACTAACAGTGGAATCTTCCTTATGTGGAAATGAGGTTCTAAAGTCAGTGCAGAAACCAAAGATCTAGGATGCTCAAAATTTCTTTAAAAATTCCTTAAAAAGGTACAACAGACCTTTTCTCATTATGTCCAACATAGCAAGTTTTTTCTGAAGTGTTGAAACTATATTTCCTCAGCTAAGTATCCAGATAAAATAGTATGCTGTGTTATATGGAACACCAAAAGCAAAAGAAAAAACCAGCAACAACCCCAAATATGTTTTAAACACTAGATCTTTACTCAGCACAGGGATGTACCGTAGAGTGAGACGTATGAAGGAACTAAGACCACATAGGAGAAAAACTTGATTATATCCTTCATCTGGCACTAAGGCATAGCACTTTTTTTTTTTTGGAGAGATTTTCACCATAGGGTGCGTGCGCTCGCCAGACAGACAGAGAGAGACATAGAGACAGAAAGCGAGAAATCACCCCCCAGGGGGGATGGTCACGCCGCAATCCCTTCTCCTCCATTCTCCTCTTGGGATCTTGGGCACGCATGCACACGTGCCCGGCGTGAGTTTTAAGCCACCGGGTCCAGGACGCGAACCACTATCGACTACGTGGGAGTCCAGCGACATAGCCATTATGCTAACTGCTGGTTCCCAAGGCATAGCATTTTTAAATGTGCAACTGCGTCAAGTATTTCTTTGCTGTCCTCATCTAGGAAAATGTAATGGAGATACTCCTACTGCATTACCCAGGCATTTACACATACAGATACTCATAGAGCAAAAGAAAATAGTGAAGTAGCATGAAGTATTGCTAGAATATATTTGAAGGGAAAGAAGGAAAGACTATGGAAGAGACACCATAGATGATTCTGATAAGTCCCTGCCTCTTGTTGAAATGTCCCATACCAGATTTATTAATTTTAACAATTAATGGGTAAAAAGTGATAGGTTCCTTATTTCTAGTATAGTCCTGCTGTTTAAAAGCCATTTAAGCTTACATCAGTGCAAACAATTAATGGCTTTATGCATTGTCTCTATTATAGTTTAGAATAAAAAAGAGAATTAAAGTGTACTCCCCTAGTGGGGGTTAAAGTACTCTTTGATTATGGCTATTTTTGTTATAATAGGAGACCTAGGGTTTTGAAATTACCAGTCAGCTCAGATAATGGGTGACAAAAACATGTACTAAAAGCTTTTTAAATTTGCCTGCTTTTTGGGTAATGGTCTATAGATTGTTGACCAAGGAATTGAGTTCTAAGTGAGTTAGAGTTTAGGAAAATACATCATATAGCATATATGCTGCTTTGTATAGGTAGAATTGCTTGAATTTATTGATATCTGAGGTGTTATTTCTGCATGATTGATCACTAAAAATAATGAGTTTCTACAAGATACTACTGAAAGACACAACCTAGTAGTTAAAGTCCTTTGTTTGACTTCTTAGAGAAGAAAATTTGAGTATCATTGCATAGATCATAATCCTCTTAAGAAAATGCACAGAATAAAAGGGATTAAGACCTGAAAAAATGCTTAATAGAATATACTGTTTTAAAATAATTTCTAAACTATTTTAGGAGGCTCTAGAAAACATGACAGTTGCCCTAGCCCCATGCCCCCCCCGCCAAAAAAAAATCCCTTTGACACTGATTTGTGGGATTATTGAGTCACTGGGAAAGTCATGATGTATTTTTGCACCGAAAACAAAACTTTCCTGACTACCTAATAGTTATCTACAGATTTCTAAAGACACTCTCCTCCATCATACTTGCTGGATTCTAAATTATATTGTTTCCCAGATGTCTCTTTTTTCACTTTGTTCCCCTTAATTGGTAAAGTTAATAAATCTGGTATTGGAAATTTCAACAAGAGGCAGGGATTTATCAGAATCATCTATGGTATCTATTCCATAGTCTTTCCTTCTTTCCCTTCGAATGTATTCTAGTAATACTTTAGGAAAAGCACCTATTACAGGCAGATCTTGAGCAGCTATTGTTTTACAGTGGTACTGTGCTCTCATGATCTCCCCAGCCTTCTCATGCTGGGGAAGTAGAGGATAATGAACCTTCTTCACTGTGGAACACACCAGGTGCACCACCCAAGCAGGCATCCAAGAAGGTGCTCTGTTGTACGCTGGTAATTTGGAGAGCTAAGGGATTGTGGCAGTGCTTGAGATGTGGGGGAAATTAAAGTACAGTATCCTTTCTAGTGTGCGTTTGTATGAAAGATCGCCAAACTTGACACTAAATTATAAATACTCAGCCTTTATCTCAGATATTTGTGGTTTCAAATTTACATGAATAAAGTAGGCTAATTTGTAGTTCTGAATCTTCTCTTGTCAGTTTTCCAGCAACTTTATCTGTGAAGTAGACTTTATTATTATATTCTTTTATTTGTTGACTTACATATCAATACTCTGTTTTCTTTTTTTTTTAAAGGAGGAAACACAATCATTACTAGAAAACTTGCATGTTTACCATACAAATTACTTCCTGGTTTTGAGATGTCTTCATAATTTTACCTCTTCCCTTCCCAAGTACCCACTGGGTCGACAGGTAACCAAAGCTTCCTCATTTGGAATCTGTGAAGTAGGAATATAAATACCCTCTTGCATTGATTTCAGTCGCTCAGGCATCAATATTTGAAATGGATCCAGTTCTTACATGAGAGCACAATTTAGATCCATTCTAGCCATATACACTGCTTATAACAAAACAGTGTTTTTCATTCTGAGGGCCACAGCTAGAAACAGCGACATAAATCCCAGTGCTGTTGCTTTCCCACACTATATTTGTGTGAAGGCATTAAAACTTTCCTTCTTTGACATTTTTTGTCATCTCTACTGAGACAACTGGTTGTTCACCATAAGTGAACTGCAAAAAGATACCTATTTGAGAATGCTTAATGGTTAACTTTGCATTGCACCAAGAATTACATGAGAAGCAGTGCTTTTGCTCCTTTGCAGAATTATGCTCAGCTGGCCTCTGGTTCATACCATAAAACTATGAACCTTCTGTAGTGCAGCTATCAATGGGAGAATGATATATTCTTAAATCTTCACATCCTTAACTCAGAGTTTTGGAGAACAAATACAGGCATGTAAGAATGACGTTTTTGTGAGGTGATTTCTGCTATTGAACGTTCATTGAGTCACTTTGTCTTTTATTTTAATTTTTCTTATTGCAAAGTGACCAGTGATATCAACCAATCCCAATATAGTCTTATTTTACTTTTTAGGAAAAGTATATTGTGAGGCCAGCAGGTGGTGTGGAGGTTAAGGTGCTGGACTCCCACATGACTGACTGCAGTTTGAATCCTAGACCTGATGGCTTTCTCACTTTCCTTCTCTCCCTCTCTCTCTGGTCATATTTTAAAAAGTAATAATAATACATAAAATAAAATCTAAAATAATTATTTTTTTTTAAAAAAAGAAAAAAGTGTATTCTTCCAAAGCCTAGCCCATGTAATATATGCCAAGCCTCTTATCATCTAAAGAAAATAGTTATTTTGGGACCAGCAGTTGGCATAATAGCTATGTCACTGGACTTGCATGTAGTCAACTGCAATTCAAGTCCTGGACTTGGTAGCTTACACTCACGCGGGGTGCATGTGCATGTGTGCCCAAGATCTCGAGAGGAGAATAGAAGAGGAAAGGATTGCAGCATGGCCATCCACCCTGGGGGGAGGGGGGGAGTGATTTCTCGCTTTCTGTCTCTCTGTCTCTCTCTGTCTTTCTGATAAGTGCAAGTGCCGTATAGCATGTGCTCGCCAGAGAGACAGAGAGATATTTTCTCCAAAATAAATATTTTGGAGAGAAAAATCTCTATATTTTCTCCAAAAAGAAAAAGTAAGAAAGAAAAAGAAAATAGTTATTTTGAATATTTTTTTGTGTGTGTGTTAACGACATATGATTTTGCCAAACTAGTAGTGTGTAAACATAGTGTATTCCTCTTGATTCTTCACAAATGTGCTGTTCACTTACAGATCAGAGAATTGTACTGCACATGTTTGGAAAAGAACATATGGGATTCAGAGGAGTATGCATCGACCTTGCAGCTGCTGAGGTAGATTTTTTCCTTTCTTTTTCTGTCTGCTCTAAGCCTGCCAGTAAGTAGCACCTTCCTCCAGAACTCTGCCTGCCAAAAAGTTTTGTAAGTAGTTATGTTGTGTCTAAGAATATGTGACTATATTTTGAATTCATGCATGTAGCTTAAACTATCTGTTTCTTTTACTGATTTTAAGTTGTTTTTGAACTTGTGGGGTTTTTTTGTTTTGTTTTGTTTTGTTTTTTTGGAGAGGTTTTTGCTATAGGGTGCGTGTGCTTGCCAGACAGACAGAGAGAAACATAGAGACAGAAAGCGAGAAATCACCCCCCAGGGGGGATGGTCACGCTGCAATCCCTTCTCCATTCTCCTCTCGGGATCTTGGGCACACACGCACACGCGCCCGGCGTGAGTTTAAGCCACCGGGTCCGGGACTCGAACCACGGTCGACTACATGGGAGTCCAGCGACATAGCCATTATGCTAACTGCTGGTCCCTGAACTTGTGGTTTTTAAAGGGAGACTCCTGATTGTTAAGTCAAGCATTGACACTTCATGAGAACCTTGATGTGGTTGATTTGAATCCAACAGGCTTGACATTGTGGTGGGAAGTAAGTCCTGGAGAGCAGGCTCACCCTAGCCCTACCTGCTTGCTGGAGGAATAGCATCATTGGTAATAGGCACCTGAGGGAGGGCACTGCTCGCCTTGATGGGGGCAGTAGGCTGGTTCTGTCCACATTAACATTGGATAAGTCATAAACTATTTATCTAATAGAATAAATAGATGTCTCAGGGTTATTATCAGGTATCTGTCTCCATAAATATGTGTTTTTAAATTATAATAATTTGGGACCAACAGTTAGCATAATGGCTATGTCACTGGACTCCCACGTAGTTGACCGCGGTTTGAGTCCCGGACCTGGTGGCTTAACATCACGCTGGGTGCGTGTGCATGTGTGCCCAAGATCCCAAGGAAAATGGAGGAGAAGGAATTGCGATGTGGCCATCCCCCTGGGGGGTGATTTCTCGCTTTCTGTCTCTCTGTCTGTCTCTGTCTTTCTGGCTAGCACACGCACCCTGTAGCAAAAACCTCTCCAGAAAATAATAATTTGTATTCCTTGTCTTTATTTCCTGTTTGTGTGGCAACTTTTTGTTCTTCCATAAAAATAATGACTACTTAGATAGTGAGAAAGGCAAATCAAGTGTGCACAAAGTTTCTACACATGAAGTTTACAATTTTCCTCCATGGATTTAAATACTTACATGAAAATATTGTAAAGAAGTCTAAAAACAGTATTTTAAAGTCTTGGTTTCCCTTGAGCCCACAATAAAATAACAGATGGGCACAGTAGGAGGAAAATTCACACTGAAAATACTTTAAGTTCAGACTTAATATTACAAGTATTAGTGATCTAGCACCTTAAGATAGGAAACTAATTTCATGCTATCTGGAAAAATAACTCCCCATGGAAACTAGATTGCCACTTAAAAGCTGTGTTTTAAAATCCTGACTAGAGATCTCTACTTTTCTTTTTTTATTTATAAACTAGAATAATTTTGAGACTTTCTACATACCTATCTGAAAAAAATCCTCTTTATTCTTGTTGGTCTTCTCTTTTAGCCTGCACAATTAGTGATTGTTTCCAGTTAGTCATTCCTAGATTCATAGATTCCTTTGTGAGAGAGGAATTTGTTCTTGTTTTTTTTTTTTTTTAATTTGCTACAGGGCGTGTGCTCACCTGAGACAGAGGGGGGGAAGAGAGGAAAAACTGAGAAAGCACCCTTTAGGAGGCATGAGCATGCTATAATCCCTTCTCTGTTCTCCTCTTGGGATCTTGGGTATACATGCACATGAGCCTGTTTGTTTTTCATACCTCCGGGTCTGAGACTCAAACTGCAGAGTAGGCCATGTGGGATCCAGCTGCCCTAAGCACCACATCACTGGCTGGCCTGGAACTTGTTCTTTTTCTTGTGATCATTCCTGGCACTTGTAATCTTGGAGCACTGTCAAGGATCAGGAATTCTAATTCCACAGGAGGGTAAGGAAATATGAACAGTAATAGTAATGGTAGCAACAATAACCATTTGGTTAAGGCATGCCATGAGCCAGGCACTATGTTATCCCTTTTCAGTACATTTTCTAATCTAATACTCACAGTACACCATTACAGTAGATATTACAAACCTTACTGTACCCCTGAGGAAACTGGAGTGCAAATAGGGATTAAACATCTTGCTTGAGATTACTTAGCTGCTACAGAGCCAGTATTCTAATCTAGGTGTGATTTCAAAGCTGTTGTTCCTTCTTATTCTTTACCAAGATTTAGAATGTAGATTTGAGGATCTGACTAAAGCAGAGGCAATAAATAAAAAGTGAGATTTTAGTCATTTTATTAAGCGAGGTCTGAAATATCACTAGTCCAAAGTGTAGGAATATAGTTAATAAGTACTTAGCATCAACTCTAGCAGCTGTAGGAAGGATAGTTGAGAGTCTGAATATGACAAGAAAGGAGAGGAATCTGGGGACCTTAACTGGAATTTGGCTTTTCTCCCTTATACAGTCTAGATGTGGATGGGAATTCAGGGATACCTTTTAATTTAAGCACTCACAATAGGAATCTTCTGAATGTAGAAGACCAGGCATTTTCATCACCTGTGTTCAAACTTAAATGTAAGTCATGAGAGAAAATAAGATAACAATTATCACTGAATGTTGTTTTGGAAAGGAAAGATGCTAAGGTTCTGTTAGAAACATAGTCTAGAGACCATAGCATAGCGCAATGACTATGTCGCTGAACTCCCATGTAGTTGACCACGGTTCAAGTCCCAGACCCGGTGGCTTAAACTCATGCCAGGCGCGTGTGCATGTGTGCCCAAGATCCCGAGCGGAGAATGGGGGGGCGATTTCTCGCTTTCTGTCTCTCTGTCTCTCCCTGTCTTTCTGGCGAGTGCATGCTCCCTGTAGCAAAAACCTCTTCCCCCCCCCAAAAAAAAAGAAAAAGAAACATAGTCTACGGCTGGCTGTATAGCACAGTGATCGAGCACTGTGTGTGAGGAGCGTGAGGAGCTGGATCCCACATGGTAGACCCTGGTTCAAATCCCAGCCCTGGTATCTTGAGGGACACTCCGAGTGCACATGCATGTGTGCCTAGAATCTTGATGAGATGAAGTGGAGGAAAGGGGATTGCAGTGTGGCTGTGCCACATTGAGGGTGCTTTCTCTCTCCTTCCCTCTCTAGCGAGTACACACACCCTCTGACAGAGAAAAAGAAAAAGAAATTTCTTAAAAAGTCTAATAAATTTTCCAATTTTTTAAAGAGATTTTTTTGCTATCGGGTGTGTGCCCTCAACAGAGAGACGAAGAGAAACAGAGACAGAATGCAAGAAGTCACTCCCTAGAAGATGGCTACTCCACAGTCCATTCTCCTCCATTCTCCTCTTGGGATCTTGGGCACGCATGCACATGCACCTGGCATAAATTTTAAGCCATGAGATCTGGGACTCAAACCACGGTCAACTACGTGGGAGTCCAGCAACATACCCATTACACCATCTCCTGATACTTGCAATTTGAATTTTTTTAGGAAGTAACTTAGTAGTATTCTTCATGAAAAATTTAAGCTGACATACTTAAATAACCATAGAACTATTTGATGAACTATTTGATGACTATTAAAAAATACTTAAAAGGGGGCCATCAGGTAGAGTGATGATTAAGGCAGCTGGACCTCTCTTGGCTAACTATGCAGTATGAATCCCAAACTCAGTGGCTTAAAAAACACGTAGGGTGTATGTCCAAAATGTTGAGTAGAATGGAGGAGAAGGGATTGCAATGTGGTCATTCTCCCTGGGGGGTGATTTCTCACTTTCTGTCTCTCTGACTGTCCAGTGAACACACATGCCCTATAGCAAAAATCTCTAAAAAAAAAAAAAAAAAAAAGAAAAGAAAAGAAAAGATGAGCAAACCAAGGCCAAACATGTTGACTTTTCTGCAATACACAGAGCTGAAATTTAAATATGAATCTTTAAAGTCTAGTGCATTTTTCAGCCCTATTCTAGTTATTTGAGAGATAGTAATAAAAGGCAATTTACATGTTTGTGGCCAATAATCTATATTCAGGGCATATCCAGAATTTTAAAATGAGCCAGCAAAGCTTCTGTAGACTCAAACATCCCCAGTCACCACCATCCCCACCATCCTCACAGTATTGATCTCAACACAGGAGCAGATGCTTAAATGAAAGAAGCCACAGTGTCTGGTCTGCTTAGCCCATGAGTGACCTTAAAAGCTTGCTATAGAAACAGACTTAAAAATTGAAGTTGATTGATGACTGAAGAAATTTTTTTATGGGCTGAAAGTAATTTCTGGGCTTTTGACTATTGAGTTAAAAAAAAAAATAAAGACCTAAATAATAATATTATTAATCACTTCAGCTTAGTTCTAAGAGACTAAAACTTTACACTCTAAATATTGCACTGTTTCCTGACTCTTCAGATCAACTTTAGATCTAGTTCTGAAAATTTATACAGCTCTACAGTCTGTGTGATATCCTGTCTAAATAGTAATAATCTAACTTAAGATGACCTAGATTTACCCATACAGGACCTTTATGAGAGTGAACCATTACAGTATTTCTTTTAGAACAGGAATTTTCAATCTTGAGTTTGCATCACATCAGGTCCTCCACATTATTAATAGGCTTGTGGTGAAATCACACAAAGAGTTAAAATTGTGATGCTCCATTGAAAATGAAAGATGTTGAGAGTCACTTTTTTTTTCATATTGGTTTTCAGGCTTTGTTGTAAGTAGAATCAGCTGAGGTGTATTAAACATGTAGTCAGTCTTTGCCCCAAAGATTGTGACTCATACTGTTGGGAACCTGGGTGTAGTGGTTGGCAGGAATCTGATTTAGCAAGCACTCCATCACATTTAGACAGATGGCCCAGGGACCACACTTTGAGACGCACTACTCCTGAAAATAAAGGGAAATAGAAAGGTATAATAACTATTTTGAGGAAAAAA